CTAACTTTTAATATATTTTAATATATTAGTAGTTTAATATAGAAAATAATAGTAAAAAGTAATAAATAATATTTAAAAAAGTATAATTATATATATATATTAAATTAAGAATTAATTATTAATTTTTTAAAAAAAAAAATTAAAATTAAAAAAATATATATATAAATAAAAGTTTAATAATTAGTTTAATAATATATTAATTAGTAGTTTAATAATTGTTAATATAATTTATATAATATAATATTATAGAAATAAAAAAATAATTTTTATATAAAATAATAGTTATAAATTTATATCTCTTTTTACTATTATTTATATAAATAATAGATAAATTTCTTTTATATTAATTTATAAAAATAAAGAAAATTTATAAAATATTTAAATAGAAAATTTTAATTTTAAAAAAGAAATAATTTATTTTATAGTCTTTTTAAATAATTAAAATAGTAATAATTTTAGTAAATAATAGTTAAAAATATTTAATAAATATATAAAAGTTAAAATAAACTATAATAAAAAATTTTTTATTTTAAATAATTATTTTTCTTATATTAATTTAAATTTTCTAAAATATATAAATAATAATTAAATTTTTATTATAATTTTACCTTTTTATTTAATTTATTATTTATAGCTTCTTAATATTATTATTTTTAATTTATTAATAAAGATTTATTTTTAGAAAATTAATAATCTCTTATATAATAAATTTAACTATTTATTAATTACTAAATATAACTTCTAGAGTTTTTTCTATTTTATCTAATATAAGAGTCTTATATTTAATAATATTTAGATTGATTTTATAATTATTAGTATATATTTTTTAAATCTAAAATACTAGTTAAAATGTTTTTAAAACTAATAAAAGTAGAATAAATAGTTTATTACTTCTATTTATAAATTTTAAAAAAAGTTTTAAATATTTATTATAGTTTAAAGGCTCTATTATATAGTAAAAAAAGCTTAAAATTAACTATTAGTAGTAAATATTTATTTTCTTAAATTTATTTATATAAATAAATAATTAATTTTTAATAATAAAATACTTCTATATAAAAATATAGCTCTTTTAACTACTTTAATAAAAGAGAGAAGAAAATAGAAATAAGGTAAAAAATTAGATTTATTTAATAAAAAATAGTTTAACTAGACTTAAATATTTATATCTATAAAGATATAAAAGAGGAAAAAGAAGATAGATAAAATAAAGTAAGAGAAGTAAGCTTAAATTATTTAATTAGAGTAAGCTAAGCTATAAAGAATAATTTAAAAGAAAGTAAAAGTCTAGAAAACTATAAAATAGAAGGCTTAAAAGCTTATAAAGTAGTAGTAGAAGAGATAAAAGAAAGAATAAACTAAAACTAAAATTAAAGTCTAGTATAAGTAAAAATAGTAGTATAAAATAAAAGAGAGAAAGGTATAAAAGTTTATAAAGAAGGCTTAAAAAGCTTAAAATATTACTAAATCTCCTTCTTTATCTACTAAATTAAATAAGAAGAAGTAGCTTATAAAGGAGTCTATTCTTACTCTCTTTACTTTTACTATATCTAAGTATATATCTTTAATAAAGCTAAGTTAAAGTAGCTATACTATTAAGCCTAATACTTATTTATTTTCTTAACTATATTAATTTATATATAATTTAAAACCTAGCTATTATTTAATATATTATTTTAACTTATTTAACTATATAGTTATTAAGATAGTTGATTAAATAAGTAGATACTAATATCTTAGTGATATTTTAGAATAGTGTTTGTTGAGTGGGGGTGCTCGTTGATTGGTGAACTACGTTATAAAGTAGAGATATAATTAAAAATCTCTACAAGCTCTTATCTAATTTGAAAATCCAGATCTATTTTTCGTTCTTGCTGGCTCAAAATTACAGTTGCAAAATCCCTCTAATATGTAGCGTGAAAACACCCCTTCCTTGGCACCTTGCAATGTTTAACGTCTCACACTCTTCGAGATTCCACCCCCTTTTCATCATCCCGTGCCGATGCCTATGGCTAGTCGTGCCCGCATTGCAAAGGCGTTGCAGTACCGCTGCCGACAGATTCGATTTTTCACCCCAACCACGAATATACCCACCGTTATGGAGCCAAGCAAAGTCAAGTATGCGTATATCGAGGAAGGCGTCGAGCGCCTGGACTACTATGTCCGTGGCGGGTATCATCCGGTAAATATTGGTGATGAGTTCCAGGAAGGCCGCTATGTCATTGCCCATAAACTTGGATTTGGACGGTCTGCCACTACCTGGCTGGCTGAAGATAAAGAAACGAAAAAACTTGTCGCTCTCAAAATTTCCACTGCAGAATCAGTTGAGCGCACTCATGAGGAACAAATTCTTTTACGACTGGCCAGGTGTCGATCAGTGTTACCTGGAAAAGCCATAGTCCAGATATTGCTTGACTCTTTCACCTTCTCCGGGCCAAATGGGACACATCGGTGCTTGGTTACGGATGCTGCGAGGGTTAGCATTCATGTTACAAAGGACATGGCTTATCACCGCCTTCTCCAGCTTGAAGTCGCTAGAGCCATTGCATCCCAATTGATATTGGCACTGCAATTTATACATGCTCAGGGGGTCGTTCACGGCGGTATGTTTTGATTCTATGACATACCTGAACTGGCTTGGAGTCTAAACCAGATGACACAGATCTTCACGCTGGAAATATTCTCCTTCATCTACCGCCAAATATTCGGAGCATGACCCGCGAACAGCTATATATAAATATTGGAAGGCCTGACGAGGAGCCTGTTATTCGTGTAGACGGCTTACCCCTTAATAATAGGGTTCCTTTAAAGGTCATTTTCCCGGTATTACTAGGGCTTGGAAGTGATAAGATCAAGTTAGCCGATTCTTCTATTCTACTTACAGACTTTGGAGAAGCTTTTGATCCTCAAAGAACACAGCGATTCACTGCACATACACCAGTTCCCTTATCACCGCCAGAATCTCGCTTCGCGGATGAACCGCTTTCTTTTCCATCAGATATCTGGACTCTTGGGTGTGTGATCTGGGACCTATTTGGATCCAGTCCACCATTCGAAGCTTTCCCCGGCTCGCAGGATGATATTACCGTCGAGCATGTTGAGACATTTGGTAAACTCCCGGATCGATGGTGGAGTAAGTGGGAGACGCGTAGCGACTGGTTTGATGAAGATGGCCATAAAAACGTCAAGGAGAGCCTACAGCAGTATTACGGCAACACCAGCCGGGGCTGGACCCAGCGGTTTGCGGACATAAATATCTCGCGAAAGAGCAAGAAGCTCGAGACCTTTGGCACTGAAGAGGAAAGTCATTTCATGACATGATGCGATCTATGCTAGTCCTTGAACCCGAGTAAAAGGGCTAGCATAGATGATGTGGTGAGGTGTGAGTGGGGTGC